GAGAGGTTGGGGCAAGTGGAGGCCCAGCTTGAAAATTTCAAGAAGGAGAGCATAGGCTGGAGAAGGGCTGCGCGGGGTGCGTGTACCAGGGGCTTGGAGGAGCCTCAGAAGGCAAAGAAGATGGAGGTGCTGGCGATGGTGCAGAGTAACGTTGACAATTGTGTCCATGTTGAGCTCTGCGCGGCCAAATTGGAGATGGAGGACGAACGTCACAAGGTGGTGTCGCTCGAGTTCCAGCTGGCTGGCGAGCAGAAGAAGCTGGAAGATGCTCAAAATGCCTGCACTGTCGCCAACGGGCGGTTTGAAGAGGCCATGACCAGCAATGAAGATCTGCACGCCCAGTGGCTCAAAGAAAAGGAAGGAGCAGACCTGAAGATCGCTGGGTTGGAGCGACATCTTGCAGATGAGCGTGCCAAGGCAACGGCAGAAAAGGCAGCGCTAGAGAAGGAGAAAACCAAGTCAGCCTCTGAGAGGGCAGCATACCCCGATTTGTGCGTCGTAGCAGTAGAGCAATTCAAGGGGTCTGCTGACTTTCAGATGGCTATCGATGCTACGATTGCCAGCCACCTGGCGAGAGAAGGGTCTGGGGGGGCTGGCACGTCGTGGGCGACCGCTGGGGGCAGGAGTGAAGAAGAAGTAATCCAGAGCTTCCAGCGGTCGGACTTCTACAAACACGAAATGGCTGAGTTCTGGGACAGCGTGTGGAAGATGTTCAAACGTAAAGCTGAAGAGCTGTTCCCAGACTTAGACTTTAGCAGTGTCAAGATTGACGAAGACGACGTGGTCCAGACCCCCCTAGACGAGGGCGTTGAAGAAAAAGATCTTGCCTCAAGTGAAGTGGAGTGAGTGGGGTGGAGAAAATTTGTACTTAAGAGTTTTGGTTATTGTTTTGTTTGTCTTGGTTTTTTTTTTTTGAATTGCTATAATAAACTTTTGTACAAGTTTGTGAATGAATAAAATTATGAATTGTGTTTGGCATACTGTTGTTTGTATGTGTGTAATTCTGCAATGAACGAGAATGGTGACTTGCACAGGGCTTGTGTATAAATCATTGCGAGGTGTAAAATGTAAGAAAAACTCAACGTAGAGCTAAGTTTAAAATGTAAGAAAACCGTAACGTAGAGTGAAGTTTAAAATGTAATAAAACCTCAATGCAGAGTGAAGTGCAAAATGTAAGAAAACCTCCACGCAAAGTGAAGTTTAAGAACGTGAAGTTGTGAATCACAACCCGACAAGAAGCAAGTCTGACTTGGAAAACGTTTAGCTGGAATTTGACTAAGTATGGCCATTATGCTACGATAATGAAGTTGCAATGGTGGCTTAGTCTGGCTGAGACTTGAAGTAACTCAGTCTGGCTGAGCGCTTCATGCTCAATCTGGCTAAGGCTTTAAGTAACTCGGTCTGGCCGAGCTCTTCATGCTCAATCTGGCTGAGGCTTTAAGTAACTCGGTCTGGCCGAGCTCTTCATGCTCAGTCGGGCTGAGGCTTTTTATGCTCAGTCTGGCTGAGGCTTTAAGTAACTCGGTCTGGCCGAGCTCTTCACACTCAGTCTGGCTGAGGCTTTAAGTAACTCGGTCTGGCCGAGCTCTTCACACTCAGTCTGGCTGAGGCTTTTTATGCTCAGTCTGGCTGAGGCTTTAAGTAACTCGATATGGGCGAGCTCTTCATGCTCAGTCTGGCTGAGGCTTTTCATGCTCAGTCCGGCTGAGGCTTTTTATGCTCAGTCTGGCTGAGGCTTTAAGTAACTCGGTCTGGCTAAGATCTTCGTGCTCAGTCTGGCTAAGGCTTTAAGTGACTCAGTCTGGTTGAGGTCTTCATGCTCAGTCTGGCTGAGGCTGCAATCAAAGCGTTATTGGAATACCGTATAGATAACTGAGATATAAGCTTGTTGTCATTAAAGTGTAGCCCATTTGATCAGAAATTTACATCATGTGAAAGAAGAAAAAGAACATTCAAGTGTGTAGATTGCCGAAAAGAAAATACAATAACTGATCAGTACAAGAATGGAAAATTATTGAAAATAACGCTTCAAGTGTTCGGCGTTCCACGAATGGGGGAGGTCTCGACCTTCCATGTCCTGAAGTCGGTATGTACCCGGACGAGGTATGGCTTTGACAACGTAAGGTCCTTCCCACTTGGCTTCCAGTTTCCCTTCAGTCGGATTTTTGGTAGCAAGGGTTGCTTCTCGTAAAACAAGGTCCCCCACGGCGAACTCCCTAAGTCGGACTTTGCGGTTGTAGTGAGTTCTCATTTTTTGTTAGTATGAGGCCTGTCTGACTGCAGTGGTTTCTCGGAGCTCTTCAATTAGGTCTAGGTCTGCCCGACGTAGCTCTTCAGTTAGTTCTGGATTCAGATGTAGAACCCTTGGGGTAGGCAGACCGATTTCCACTGGGATGACCGCCTCAGCGCCGTATGTTAAGCGAAAGGAGGTCTCTCCAGTGGGAGTTCGGGCGGTAGTGCGGTAGGCCCAAAGTACATTTGGTAATTCCTCAGCCCAGAGTCCCTTAGCAGCTTCCAGCAGTACATTCGGTAATTCCTCAGCCCAGAGTCCCTCAGCAGCTTCGAGCTTAGTTTTGATGATCTTCAGAAGAGAACGGTTGGTGACTTCAACTTGGCCATTGGCTTGGGGATGACCTGGGGAGGAGAAACATGGTTGGATTTGAAGTTCTGCACATAATTTCCTGAACTTGGCATTGTCGAATTGTTTACCGTTGTCGGAGACGATGGCTTAGGGGATGCCAAATCTGCATACGATTGACTGCCAGATGAATCTGGTTGTGTTCTGCTCGGTGATTGTGGCAAGGGGTTCTGCCTCCACCCATTTGGTGAAGTAATCAATGGCGACAATCGTGAACTTGGTCTGGCCTTGGCCAGTGGGCAATGGACCAACTAGGTCGATCCCCCATTTGGCGAATAGGTAGGGACTACAAAGTGTGATCAACTCTGTAGGAGGAGCATGGGGGATGTTGGCAAAGCGTTGGCACTTGTAACATTTGAACACGAAGTCAGTCGCATCTTGATTGAGAGTAGGCCAGAAACAACCTGTGCGAAGTACTTTGTGGACTAGGGATCGGGCGCCCGAATGATTATCACAGATACCCTCATGGATTTCCCTCATCACATAGGTTGCTTGAACAGGATTGAGGCATCACAGATACGAGCGTGAAAAACCATGTTTGTACAAGAGGCCGTCGACAAGAATGTAATTGGACGACCTGGCCCTGACTTTGGCAGCCTGCAGTTTGTCACTTAGCAGTTCCCTTGTTGCTAGAAACAGGAAGACGTTGACCGCCCATGAGATAGGTTCATTTTGGAGGAAGTGAACTTCTTGCTGGTTTGAGGAAATGGCAGGGTGGGCCAGGTACTCGAGGCGAACACCGTGGCTGAGGTATGACTGGTCTGCCGAGGCCAACTGAGCCATTTCATCTGCCTTGGAGTTTTCTGTCTGAGGGATGTGCTTGATGTGGAAATTACTGAAGAAGCGGACGAGAGGGAGTGCAATATCCCTGTAAGCCCGCATGGTGTCGTCCTTGGCATCAAATTCCCCCGTGATTTGGCCGACAATGAGCTGGGAATCGCTGAACACTTGGATATCGCTGACACCAATGTCTCTAGCTAGGCGGAGACCTGCTATCAATGCCTCATACTCGGCCTCATTATTGCTTGCATCGAACAAGAAGCAGAGAGCACATTTGAAATAACCACCCTCAGGGACGGTGAGGATAAGACCAACCCCGCTGCCTTCTTTGCAGGATGATCCGTCGACGTTGAGGGTCCAAGAGTGGGGGTCTTCCGGCTCGGTAGGGGTTGGTGGAGGCGTAGAAGCTGTGGTTGGAGTGGGATTAGTGAATTCTAGGATGAAATCGGCGACAGCCTGCCCCTTAATCGCTGTTCGAGGCCGGTAGGAGATGTCAAACTGGCTGAGTTCAACCGACCACTGCATAAGTATACCAGAAAGCTCTGGTTGTTGCATTATCTTCTTCAATGGTTGGTCAGTGAGGACCACTATGGAATGGGCTTGGAAATAAGGACGGAGTCGTCTGGAGGCGGTGACCAAGGCCAAAGACATTTTTTCTAACAGTGGGTAATTCTGTTCCGCTCCCCTAAGAGCCCGACTGATGTAATAGGCTGGCCATTGGACAGAGCCGTCTTCCTTGATAAAAGCTGCACGGACTGCGGTGTTTGACACGGCTAAATAGAGGAAGAGGGGTTCGCCTATGATTGCCTGAGACAAGAGGGGGGGTTGGCCATGCACTGCTACAACTGCTGAAAGGCCGTTTCGGATTTGGCCGTCCACTCAAAGGTTTGCCGAAGAACTTTGAAGAAGATGAGGCACATATTCGTTGCGCGGGAAATGAAGCGGTTGAGGGCGGCAACTCAGCCAGTAAGCCTCTGAACCTCCTTAACTGTTCTGGGAGACTGCATTTCAATCAAGGCCTTGATCTTTTCAAGGTTAGCTTCAATGTCCCGCTGACTGACCATGAAACCCAAAAACTTCCCAGATCCGACGCCGAAGGCGCATTTCTCCGGATTGAGCTTCATTTGGTACTTTCACAGGGTGGCGAAGGTCTCTCATAAGTCGGCCAGATGATCTGTGGAGAGCTTACTCTTGACTAGCATGTCGTCGACATATACTTCCATGTTCCGGCCTATCTGGTGATGAAAGACAGCATTGACCAACCGTTGGTAGGTGACCCCAGCATTTTTTAACCCAAATGGCATTACACGGTAATAGTAGGTACCTCGGTCGGTGATGAAGGAGGTGTGCTCCACTGCCATCTCCTGCTTCTGATGAGGAGTTGCATAGTCACAATAATATTCTGAAATTCAAAATGGAATGTAATAACACATGCAGTGACCATTACTAAATGCAATCAACAAAGAACATACCTATACGATCCAGAAAGACGTGCACGCATGAAACTTCCATCAACCTCAACATGGACCATTGCATCTATCAGTTCATTCTTTTCTAACGGTAAAATATGTATTGTCAGCAACGCCAATTCATACGAAGCAACCATGAACTGTGATATGTCAACGTTTTGTCATCTTCTTCCAAATAATGATAATGTTCATTATTGGTGTAAGTTTGCATCGGAGCACAAAAGCTCCCATTTGCTTAGAATATTGGGGAAGGCCCATGTAGGGGATGATCAAATAATACTATTTTTTCAACCCGTGGACCAAAACTTTGAAGATTTGACGCAACACAATCTTCTCATCAACCTCGACAATCATTTGACACCTTCTTTTACGGCCCTTTTATTGTGAGTGCATCTCTCTTTGTTTGTCTCTATTATTGCTTTTGCAATATGTTTATTAATTTCCTCTTTGTTTTCTATATTGTAGGGATATGTTGAAGGGGATAAATTACTTTCATAGTGTACTAAAGCATGCACATGGCAAAATATGCGGAGAAAACATTTATGTCATTGATGGGAGGGCAAAATTTGCTAATGTGGTGGATATTAATTTTAAAAAATCTTATGTTGATGATATCAATAGCTTTTGCAAAATGGTAGAATCACCATTCAAGGCCAAAAACATCCCGCTTCCATTGGAGTTAGAGTATCTTCTTTCAAGCTTGAAAAAACCAAATGGGTGAGTTGCATGATTAGGTCGATACTATCTATTTGTATTACTATGATTGAATTTTAATATGTGATTACTTCTTTTGTCCACAAGTTGTGTAATTCTATTAACCACCTTGTTCTGTTGAATTCATATGGCGAAGCCATGTACAGGCATATGGAAACCCGTCATATGAAAAATTATGGAAACTTCAACCAAGCGATGATTGCAGCATATCCTAAAGAAAAAAAAAAAGCAAAATAGAAATCTGAAGTTTTCTTGGATTCAAAAAGTTACAGATGGAAAGGAATCTTATTCGTGATTGTTGTATTATGACTCTAGCCAACAGGATTGACAAGGCCAACAAATTAAATACAACAATTTGCCAAAAGAGATTTTACGATTTAGTAGAAACGTTCAACACAGACTTAAGAATATCAATTCGTTAACGTTTCTACTAAATCGTAAAATCTCTTTTGGCAAATTGTTGTATTTAATTTGTTGGCCTTATCCATCCTGTTGGCTATAGTCATAATACAACAATGACGAATAAGATTCCTTTCCATCTATAACTTTTTGAATCCAAGAAAAGTTTAGATTTTTATTTTGCTTTTTTTTTCTTTCTTTAGGATATGCTGCAATCATCGCTTGGTTGAAGTTTCCATAATTTTTCATATGACGGGTTTCCATATGCCTGTACATGGCTTCGCCATATGAATTCAACAGAACAAGGTGGTTAATAGAATTACACAACTTGTGGACAAAAGAAGTAATCACATATTAAAATTCAATCATAGTAATACAAATAGATAGTATCGACCTAATCATGCAACTCATCCATTTGGTTTTTTCAAGCTTGAAAGAAGATACTAACTCCAATGGAGGCGGGATGTTTTTGGCCTTGAATGGTGATTCTACCATTTTGCAAAAGCTATTGATATCATCATCATAAGATTTTTTTAAATTAATATCCACCACATTAGCAAATTTTGCCCTCCCATCAATGACATAAATGTTTTTTCCGCATATTTTGCCATGTGCATGCTTTAGTATGCTATGAAAGTAATTTATCCCCTTCAACATATCCCTACAATATAGAAAACAAAGAGGAAATTAATAAACATATTGCAAAAGCAATAATAGAGACAAACAAAGAGAGATGCACTCACAATAAAAGGGCCGTAAAAGAAGGTGTCAAATGATTGTCGAGATTGATGAGAAGATTGTGTTGCGTCAAATCTTCAAAGTTTTGGTCCATGGGTTGAAAAAATAGTATTATTTGATCATCCCCTACATAGGCCTTCCCCAATATTCTAAGCAAATGGGAGCTTTTGTGCTCCGATGCAAACTTACACCAATAATGAACATTATCATTATTTGGAAGAAGATGACAAAATGTTGACATTTCATGGTTGCGTCGTATGAATTGGTGTTGTTGACAATACATATTTTACCGTTAGAAATGAATGAACTGACCGATGCAATGGTCCTTGGCAAATCAGTATTCAAGTCTTCAGAAAGCACATCTGTAAATTTGTAATTCGAGTTAGTGGTCTCTATAAAAAAACATAACAACAAAATTTGTACTAAAGAACCATCAACAAGTACTTCCCAACTATGTAATCTAACACAAATCCATAGGGATTACAATACAAACTCAAATTAAACTAAATTACATGTTTAAAAAAATTAAATCAAAATGCTATGCAACACCAAAAAATTTACTACCCTGATTATTGAGGAACATAAAGCATTAAGCTTTTTACATACGAGTCCCAAAAATTTGTCTACAAAAACATGTAATAAAATATGGAATTCCACCCCCCCAATAGAATTACATACTCCTAGACATGGCATTCAGAGTTAGTTATTTAACCCTTTTGACTTCATGAACTGATGTAGGGGAAACAGCCAAAGTTAGGCTTCTCATTCATCTTAGAAGACGCTGGAAATGTAAGCACTTTTTTTTGTTTCTTTGTGTTTTGTTGTAATGGAAGTGTGGTGTGTTTTAAGATTACAATCTATCAGCTATGTCTAACTCATTTGGCTTGTGCAAAGCATCTGTGCAATTCACCATGGCTTAATAAAAATATATTGATATAGGCAAGTTGGTTGGTCAGACCTAGATGAGAGAAACGGCTGAAGAAAGAGAAGTTGTTTCGGTTTATGGAGAAATTAAGAAAAAGCAGAAGAGGGAGAGAGAAAATAAGAAAGAGATGCAGAGAAAAGGACAAAGAACAATGTCAGTCACCATTTGAACTGACGCAGTTGTATGGTTACCAACAGCAGCAAAATCTCGACCGCTATTCATGACCTAATTTGGTTTCCTCTTTCAGAAAGGTGAAACCTCGAATTTGGATCATCATCATGGTTATTATAAAAACATATGTTGAATATGGAGAAAAATCTACCTCCCAACAATGGTCTCTTCTCTCCAGATCTTGATCCATTCTTTGTCAACCCTCAACTCAGATGTTTATTAATGGCCGAAGGGTGAAGGATATTTATGATGTAGAAAACACTAAACAAACTAATAAATCTTACAAACTTTTCTTACTAATTTATGAGAAATTTGATTGTTTATATAACATTGCCTTTTCAGAGCATATATTATCTCTCTCACTTTTCCTCCTTTTCTCTCCTCTCTTTAGATATTCTCTCGTTTTCGTACAACCAAACACCCTCCTATAGCTCCAATCTTGCACCACCACTTCCACCCATTGTCACCACCAAAACATCCGGCCACTGCTTGCTTGCCTTAAAAAACCCAGCCAGCCACATTTTCCATCTCCACAAAAATATCCAATAATCATATTCAAAACTCTAGACTTTCCTAATCTCTTGAAGAACCAAGGTTTGGGGCTTTTTGTTTCAGGATAGATTAGAAGCTCTTAATTGGCAAGAATCTCTCTAGAAAGTTCTAGTAGAGTGGCTTGCATGTTTTAAGTTACAGAGCATTTTTTGTTTAGATCCATCATGTTTAAGCTTTCTTTGTTGAGTTATATGCTTCCTATTAGTTCCTATGGATGTTATTGCATATGGTGAAATCATTGATTTGAGGATTGAAGTTTGGGTAAATCTAGGCACTGAATGTGAACTAAATTTGGGAATTCTAGTGCTAGGGAATTTATATGTTGGAATTGACATGATAAATGATATATTGGGTATAACTGTTATAAATGATTTTTCAGAAATTTTAGAAATTTTTGTGGTGGTGTTGTGATTCTATAAAAATTATGACTCTTGGGTTCTTATAGTATAACAGGTGATATTATACTATTGGTTCAATGGTAAAACCTTAGCCTAATAGGTTATGAGTTCGAGTCCCGGGCCAACCACTTTGTGCACTATGCCAAAGATTAGGTGTGTACCCAATCTTTCCTTTCCCAAATACACATTAATATATACTAACTGGATGGTGTTTTTTTTTTTAATAGTATAATAGGTGATATTTATATGTGCATGTCTTCAATGGATACCCTAGTAGTTCATAATTTGAAATTTATTGACGTAAAGTAATGAAATTTGAACAAATTTGAATGTTCCAAACAGGTGGGCATGGTGAGTTTAGTTCTGAATAGTTTGAATTTGTCGATTTATTTATTTGCTTTCTTTGTCTATTCTTGAGTCAGTTTGAATCTGCACAAATGTCAACCATGATTCCTTAGAGGAATTTGAGAAAACAATTGAGAACCCAAAAGCTTGCATTGATAAGATGCGATATACTACTCCCAGCCTTTCCGATACCAAGGATTGGCAACACACTAGGTCACACTTTTATTAAATGGAAGGATAGAATTTATAAGGTTGTTATTGATGGGTGTAGGTTCATTAATGTGGTGTCCAAGTCAGCTGTCGCTAGATTCAAACTCAGCTAGAACCTCATCCTCAGTCATATAAGGTTGCATGGATTAATAAGATATCTTTTCCCGTTTCCAAGTGTTTCTAATGCCCATTAAATAAGTAATTATTCAGGCAAAATTATCTACGACGTCTTACCCATGGATGTAGCCCATGTGCTTCTTGGCTGTCCTTTAATTTATGTAGATGCCCAACACTTAGGTAGGAAGATTCCATATGTTTTTAAGCATAGTGACCAGAAAATAATGATGACACTAGCTAAGCCTATTGCAAGAGTAAAGGACCTAAATGCAACTCTCAACTCAAGAACTCACTAAATGTGAAGCTTCCTCTGAAAAGAAAACTGTGGAAGGTTAAAATTAGCATAGAATTACATGGGTCCTAGAACAGACACGTGACACGATCATGGCCTACAGCGAACAAGGCGATGGTCAAATCCAAATCAAACAATATGTCTGATACCAAATTGTGATGTCCTAAACTTTGGAACATCATGGGATATCAAGGAAGTAATAAAGTATATAAAACACTAAGTTTAGGACTTTACCATTGAAAATTTAATATTTATAGAATACAGTGAGAATGTAATATGGAGAAATTAGGGTTGAAAGTTAGGAGGAAGAAGAAGAAGAGAGAACTTTTGTATATATTGAAAACCAAATTAATTCCCTCAACTTTACATCACTCAAATATATATGAAAAACCTAAAGTAGCAATATGACCATCGTACCCTCAACTTAAGTAAATATTAACAAGAGAACAAAAATAACTAAAAGAACTATTCTAACACTCCCCCTCAAGCTGGAGCATAGAGATCGAACATGCCCAGCTTGGTAGACAAACGAAGAAATGAAGGCCGAGCCAAAGGTTTGGTGAGAATATCACCCAATTGACCCTCAGAACGAACATAAGGAGTCACCAGTTGCTTGCGGAGTAAGAGATCACGAATAAAATGGCAATCAACTTTGATATGTTTGGTGCGTTCATGAAACACAGGGTAATTGGCAATGAAGATAGCAGCCTGATTGTCACAAAATATGCGCATCGGAGTGGAAACAGAAAAGCCAAAATCTTGGAGAAGAGACTGAACCCAGAGCATCTCAGAAACAGTATGAGCCATGGCGCGATATTCAGCCTCGGCACTAGAACGAGCAACTGTTAGCATATTATATTAGCCGAAAGTTTCACTAAGGTCTGTCTGTAATCATTTTGTGCCCTCAGGGATTATCTTGTAATTGACCTTCTTGTAAACCCTAATCTTCATTTATAAATAGGGGGTGATATTCTATCATACCTGAAGAAAAAAAATCTGCACTTCTAATTTTTTTTTTTTTTGTGTTGAAATGGGGTGTTTGGTTACACCTACCATCAAGTTTGGAGTTGGGTTTAGATAT